CCCCCCCCCCCACTCACTCACCTTACTAACAGTTTCCTTCTGCTGTCTACTCAGAGACTCCCCGTCACTCTTTAGCTGCTGCACTAGCTCCTCCTTACTGCTCACCTGGGGACACAACACATGATACATGTAATAAAGGATGATAATAATGATACAAATATTTTTCTTTTTTAAAATAAAGTGTCTTAACGCTACCGGCACAATTAAAATCACTTTAGACGCAGGCTTCCAACTCTGTCAAGGCTAACCCACGCTGAGAAGGATACAACATTCCAGCAGAAAGACTGAGATACTTGAACAAAAATTCTCTAATCCCCCTCTTAACACACCCCCACACCCTTCTATCTATACATTTACTCACCATACACCAGAGTTTCTCACACCGTACCTCCTGTACTGTGATGTCTACCCCCCAACCCCAACTCCACCCCCACACCATCTCCCTCCCCCCCCTCCCCCACTCACCATATGCCTGAGTTTCTCACACTGAGCCTCTTGTGTTGTGATGGCCACAGTCAGTTCCCGGATCTTGTCTTCCAGCCGCGCGTTCTCGTCCAACTGTTTAGACCCGCGATCCTTCAGCTCTTCCACACTGCTCTCAAGATTTGTTACGGCTGCTCGCTTGGCTTCATTCTGAAAAAAAAATCGTTTCGTCAGTTGTTTAGTTTCTTTTAGAAAGAGTTTTAAAGCACTTCCAACACTAATAGTTTCATACAAGTGAAGCTCTCTTGGCCTCATTCTTAGAAAACTTCATTTGTCAGTTGTTTTGATTGTTTCAGTAAGAGTTTTATTGCAATACGAATAGGTCATATAAGTAATCAAGATTAGGGGTATTACTAGAGAGTGACATACAAAGAAAAGGAAGAGAGACAAGCACTATGTTTAATAAAAACAAACAAGCAACCTGCAAACCACCAACATCTCGTCAGTTGATTCAAAGTATCGTACACAAGTATGCATCATTGGTGTCTGAGTCTATCTATGTATCCCCCAAAATAGGTAAAAACATTTGTGGTTTCAAATTATGTCATTCACAACCGTAATTACAATTAGTGATACTGCAATGTGTAAAAAGAACAATCTTCACAAAATGTTTTAGTAATTCTGGTGGATAATAAGAAGGAAAGAGCGGTTTTTCCAATTGTTTAAACATTTTGTATTAACAAACATAATTAAAGTTCTTTATCCCCCCTCCCCTCCCACCTCCTTTCCCTACCTCCCGCCCCACTCCCCCTCCTCCCACCCCACTCTCCCTCCCTCCCCTCGACTGACCTCGTTCTGACAGGACCTGAGCTGTGTCTTGAGATGTTCCACTTCTCTCTCTGCCTGGGACGACTGGAATGAAGAAGACAGATAGATGGTCAACCCATGAAAGAACATAAAAAAAGGAACACCAGGATGACAACTAGGTCACAGTAGGAACATTTTCTACAAAAGTTTTACTTGTCTTTGTCCAGTACAACAGGCATTAATGCTTCAGTTGAAAATAAACTAAGTTCAATTAGAATTAGGCCTTAATTTTAAACAAACCAAGTTTGGGTTGAACACAATTTTTGCTGAGTTGAACATGAATTATACTCCAAGTGAACAAAAACCATATTAGTGTTGAATAGGAAGTATGTTCAAGCTAAACATGTCTCACACTCAGGTTGAACATGAACTAGACTGTCGTAGAGCACAAAAGCACCCTCAGGTAGACCATGCACTTCATTCCGGTTCAACACTGATACACTATTAAGCTGAACATAGATCACTCTTGAGATAAACATGAACTACGCTCTTGTCTAACATGAAATCCGTTAATGTTGATCACAAAGGGTCCCCTGACTGACCTTTTCCTCATATCTGCTGCACACCTCCTGCAGTTTGACAATGTCCAGCTTGAGACGTTTGATGCCCTCCTCACGTCTCTTCACCTGAAACGTACCACACCGCAACCTTCAGTTCATTTGTCATTATTATTTTTTTGTAAGTTTTATGTCACTTTCAACACAATTAGGTAATATAAGAGCCCAAAGTTAGAGATGTTACAAGAGAGCAACAAACACAAAAAAGAAACCAATAAGGACAATAGATCAATCTCTGACTGTGCCTAGCCTAGTGGGTACAGAGCTTTAAAAAGGCATCAAACAAACAAAATCCAAGAACTCCTTGTTCAAACCCCAGCCATAAAAAGCACCACCGACCCGGGCCATGCCCACTGAGCTAACAGCATGTCCTGAGGTAAGCGTATCTTCATCATCATCATCAAAAAGTGCCAGATCAGAAACAGACATTGACGATCATGGTTCTCCATTCATTTCTACGCTCAGATGCTCTTAAAAATTCCACATTATCCCACCGCTTCCCCGTCATCCATTTGTTCAGTTTCTTTGGGTCTCTCCCTGGCCGAAGGGCTAGAACTCAGATGGCCATTGGATCAGGAAAGTAAAGTAAAAAGTAACGTCTCTGGCTTGTTTGCTTTTTTTTCCTCATTTGCCTAACTAATTTCAAACAACTATGTACTGCACTGTGTGACTGTTTCTAAGAGAAAATGCCCAGTCACCTCAGTGTTGAGCACATCCTGTTCACTCTGAGCGTTGATGGCAAAGGCTTGTATCCGCGCCTCCAGCCTCCCATTTTCCTCCACCGCGTCTTTGTACTTGTCCTTGACCTGCTCAAGGTCGTGCTCCATCTGCTGCAGGCTGATCTCACGGCGCTGAACCTGGGGGAGGTCAGGACATTGTCAGAGGTGTGTGTTGTGGAAGTGGGTGCGTGTGTTGTGTTTGTGTGTATTTGTGTGTGTGTGTGTGTGTGCGTGCATGTGTGTGTGTTTGTATGTTTGAGTGTATGTGTGTTTGTGTGCATGAGTGTTGTTGTTGTTGTGTTTTTGTAAATTGCACATTTGCATTTGTGTGTGTATTTGTGTTTACGTATTTGTTGTTGTGTGTGTTTCTGTGTGTGAGTGTTAATGTTGTGCGAGTGTATGTTTGTGTGTGAGCATGTGTGTGTGTCTGTGAGTGTAAGTACAAATGTGATTGTGTTTGTGAGTTTGTGTATGTGTGCGAGACAGAATGAGGGTGTGTGTGCATTCTTCAAGCATGTACAATGTTCCCCCCACCCCATCCTTTCCACCTCCTTCTGTCACTCACCACATCCTCCAGCCTCTTCCTCTCCTCGTCCGCAGACCTCAGCTCAGCCTCCGCCCTCCTCAACTCCTCTTCCTTCCTCGTGGACTCTCCGTGTACCTCCCTCACATCCGCCTGGAGCCGAGAGATTTGTTCCTCTCGAGAGATCAGCTGTAATTATATCATCATTTATTATTATTATTATTATTATATAATTATTATTATTATTATATAATAATAATAATAATAATTATTATTATTATTATTATTATTATTATTATTATTATTATTATTATTATTATTATTATTATTATTATTATTATTATTATTATTGTTATTATTATTTCTTATTATCATCATTTTTAATATCATCATCATTCTTATTGTCTGAATTTGTAGTATTGACAATAATGCCATCTTTGCAGGTAGGGGCGATAACGGTTTTGATGGTAAGAGGGGGGAGGAGGTGATTACAGCAGCTAATATAAGAATTACAGGCAAAATCAAACCTCACAGATTTGAGGTGTATAAAGGTTAATGGAAAAAATAAAACAAAACCTAGCCTAGACATGGACAGCTGGTGCCTCTATAAATAAATGATTGATGGTCAGGCCAGATCAATTGTACACAGAACATCAGCAAATACAAGTACGACAACCATGACGCCCCCCCCCCCCCCCCCCTTCTCCACTCTCTTCTTCCCTCTCTGCAATAGTCGTGACTTTGCCCCTTTTCCCTCCATGACAACCATAACTCCACCCCCTTCCTTCCCTCTAAAACAACTGTGACCCCTCCCTCAACCTGCGAACCCCAACCACTTCCCCTTCTCCCCCTCCACAACAACTGTGACCCCGCCTCCTTCCCCTTCTGTACCTCCACAACAACCTCCTCAAACAGCCCCATACTGTCTCCCCCTCAGGCAGTTGACAGGTGTCCCTCATGGGCTAAGAAGGTATTCCCCCCTAACCTGTCCCTCCGACTGAGCCAGTTTCTCATGCAGGATGTTGAGGTCGGCCTTAAGCCGAGAGATCTCCTCCTCGCGATCGGCGATGTCCGAGCGGTAAAGCGTGTCCTGCTGGGAGCCCGTCAGTTCTTTCTCCTGTACCACCGTCTGTAGCCGGTCGATCTGGGCAATGATCACAATGTAAAGATGTGAAAAAAAGTTTTTTGTGTGTGAAAATGTAAAGGTTTAACACCCTCCTGCAACACAAAGGTTATTTAAGAGGCAGGACCTCCTAAGTTAACGTTATTCTTCCAAAGGACCATACCAAATGGGAAAATTCTCATGAAGTGCCTTTCCCAAGGACACAAAGTCAGACTGAGCTGAGGCTCAAAATCCCAAACTCACAATCTTACGATAATGTGTCCGGTAGCCTAACCATTAGACTAGCAACTCCATCAATGCAAAGACAAGAAACAAGAAGAAAAAGGTGTGTGGGGAG